GGCTGCTTCCTCCTCCCTAACCTTTGACCTCGGCCGCTCACCCACGGACCCAACACATCCACTCACCTCCCCCAGCGGAGTAGGGTGGGCTTAAACCAGGCCCCTCCCCTTCAGCTCCGCCTGGACTCAGGGCTCTGCAACCGGCCGAGGCGTCGAAAACCCCACAGAAAGAGGAAGGGGGGGAAATATCACTGCGCATGCGTCTCTGCCTCTCTGCCTCTTTGTCTCGCTTGTGCAGGCGAAAGCGACCGTTAGCATCTACATCCGGGTACTCAGCCACATGAACTCGAGACAGGGCCGAACCGTACCACCCCCTACTAAGGACGGTTCAAAAGCTGCGCCTGCGCAGACGGTGGTATGCGTTCTCCTGTGTAACGGGTTTGAAACAGGAAGGCGACAGATTGCCTGGGGCGGGGCAAAAAGGTTTTAGAACAGCGCATGCGTATAATGCAGTAATTAAAGGAGTTGGGCGCTTATAAATGAACTTAGGAGATGCTGTGTGATTGTAGTGCTGCAGGTCTTTTCACCACGTGCACTTGTGTGTATATGTAAAGTTTATATATATATAATAGGGCCTCTAAGATTATTTTTTGTATCTTTGAATTTTGCCTGATACTGAGACACAATTTAGACTGTACCCTAATTAAAGTATGATTTGGAAAAATCCGTTGGTTCTAAAGGTGCCACGACACTTGTTTTTTTTCTGGTGGGTATTGGTGAAACAATTACGTTTTTGAAAACTGGAAATAATAATACTATATAGTCACAAGCCTATCTTTTCCTTTTTTATATTTAATTTACAGTACACACCGCTCATCTAGCCCAAAGGCTACTCTGGGCGGTTTACAACCTGACACAAAGCAATAAAAACATTACTAATACAAAAATGAATTCAGTTCTTAGCCTTAAGGGAAACAAACTCCAGCCCAAGAAAACGAGAACGGTTTCATAGACTGAACTGCATACCGGCCTTTGCAGACCACACACTATACAGTTAACAGTGCAATATAAAAGAAATTAAATTAAACATCAGTGTTTCATAGACATTGATGCCCACTCCAGATGGGACGTTGTGTGTAATGAGAAAGTAAAGGCTTTGATCACTTAAACTTGTAGTTTTAAAAGATGTAAGAAATAAGATGGTGTCCTAAATTGACTCCATGTTATTTTCCTAAGTAGCGAACCAGTTGCCTTGGGGAATCCCCCCCCAAAAGCTTCCGAGTGGAACAGCATCCTTCCATTTCTTTTCCCCTCGCATTAAGAAACTGCCTCCATCACTGGGGTTAATATTTGACCATCACACAGTAGCTATTAATAGCCTTATGCAACTTTGTCCACCCACCTGTGCATTATACACCTGGTGCTCCATGGGAAACAAGGAGGTAAGAGTATCTTATATGCTGTTTCTTATGCTACTTCTGTAGGACTTCCTTATCTACAGGATCAGTATCCACCGAATCTGAAAATATTTTTTTAAATCCAGAAAAAAAACTATTTTTTGCATGTATTACCAAAACCAGCCACTAGATTTAGCTGGAGACTTGGCTATGAACTTGTTAGTGAAGAATAGGTAAAGAAGTAGAGTATGGTCTCTGGCACCCTCTGGTGGCCAGTTCTGCTAATGCATGTGAAAATTTTTGTTTTTTCTTTTATCATAGTGCTAGCTATCATCCACGGTTTTCAGTATCCACAGGGTGCTTGGATCCAATCTCCAGCAGATATGGAGGTCCTACTGTATTATAATCCAAGTTTTATTTCAGTTGAGGAAGACAATCAGTGGCAGCTTTTCCTTCTTCCTTGATAAGAGATAAGGCACCCAGAGACTACTTCCATTGCTTATCTTTAGAGAAATTCATTAAAACAGACAGCCAGAAACAGTAAATAGTGGTGTCTTGACTTATGAATGCTTTGACATACTAACATTTTGAGTTACAAACAGCTCCGTTCACAATTTTGCTGACTTGCGAACAGAGCTTTGATTTACAAACAACATTTTGAGTTACAAACAGCTCCATTCACGATTTTGCTGACTTGCGAACGGAGCTTTGATTTAAGAACCATGCTTTGACATACTAACAACTTTGGACTGCCTGGTACTGTAATTTTAAAATGTAAAAATTGGTTTAAAAGGTGCTTGGTTTGGTTTAAAGCTGCTTGGCTTTAAAGATGTTCAGTTTAAAAGGTGTTCCCTTCCTTCCTCCCTTAAAGATGTTCAGTTTAAAAGGTGTTCCCTCCCTTCCCTTTTTTTAACCTAAGTTCATCTTAGGTTAAAAGAAGAAAAATTCTCCCCCTAGTGGTAGAGGACGGATTAACTGGTTTTGCATTAGATTCTATGGGAACTAATGCTTTGATTTACAAACCGTGCCTTGACATAAGAACAAAAAACAGCCAGAACGGATTAATCGGGTTTCAATGCATTCTTATGGGAAATGCTGCTTTGATTTACGAACTTTTTGACTTATGAACATCTGCTGGGACGGAGTAAGTTTGTAAGTCAAGGCACCACTGTAATCATAAGGAAAAACATTGTAGGAAATTGTAACAGGACATAAAGTGTTGTGTCTCTGTGTGTGTTTGATGTATGATGATACTGGGCATGTTAGGAAATCGCCAAATGCAAAATAGGATCACACTAGTCTATTGGGATTGATAAGGATTTTTCATTTTTGACTATAGAAAAGGTAGGCAAACTTATGTGCATATGTACCTCTCATTCATGTTTTATTTTCTTGTCAGTAATAAAATATAGGTATTTTCCTGACCCTGTAGATTGTCCATCTTCTCTGGTATTTATGAGGTATTTCTAAAATTCCACACTCACCCATAAGTATGAAATATTTGTGGATGTTGGTCACATCTCTTTGCTTTTCAAAGAATGAGAAAGTAATCAGTTTTACTGTATATTGAAAAGAGAATAGAGCCCCCGATGCCTGTGGCCCTTTAGATACTTTTATGGGACAATTATACAAAATCCATTTTAGTTTGGGCAAAAAATCAATTTTGTGTCAGTATCCTTTAAGTGGGATACCCAGTGTCGTGTAGTAGATTGAATAATAGGCTAGGACTCAGGAGCCTTGAGTTTGAATTACCGCTTAGTCATGGAATCTTACTGGAGGTGTGGAACTGGGGATCCTAGTCCTTGAATATCTCATCTTGAAAGCCCTGTTAGGGTCACTGTAAGCAAGTTCCAACTTGATGGCATATTATTTCAAAAATGTTTCTCTGAAACTTGCTAGCTTAATATAGTTTATATTTTACAATTATTTTTCTGTAGTAAAATTAACTCATAGTTGGGTGTATACATGTTTTTCAGTGAGATGTCTAGATGTTAATTTCAGTATCTTTACTGATTGGGCTATTTGGCCTGCTACTTTTTTATCTAAGACTCTGGAGGTCAGGTGGCACTATTTTCCTGCAACCGTAATGGGTCCCGAAAGATCTGGGATGCTCCCATCTCAGAATGTACAGTGGTGCCTCGCTTGACAATGATAATCCGTTCCAGCAAAATCGCTGTGGAACGAAATCATTGTCAAGCGAAAGTAAAAAGCCCATTGAAACGCATTGAAAACCGCTCAGTGTGTTCCAGTGGGCAAAATACCTCAGTGTTCAACAAAGATCCTCCATAGGGCGGCGATTTTCCGGTGCCTGTAATGCAAAAAATCCATCCTAAGCACAGCGGGGAGCCATTTTGAACAGTGGGCAGCCATTTGGAAAACTCGACAATCAGCTGTTTTTTATCATTGGGAAGCGAAAAATCGGTTCCCGAAGCAGGGAACCGATCATCGTAAAGCGAATTTTCCCTATCTAAACATTGTTTTATGATCACTATTGCGATCGCAAAAACCTCATTGTACAGCAGATTCGTCGTACAAGGTAATCATTAAGCGGGGCACCACTGTAATGCAACAAGAGGAAGTAGTGACATATAACCTTTCTAGGGCAGGTCTGGATTCTGGGTTTGCCCTTCTGCTCCCAGGTTTAGTAAAAATTCAGGGGGTTTGATGTGAATAATTTTTAGACTAATTCCTATCGTCCTGGACCACTGTCATGCTAGCTAAGGCTGATGGGACTTGTACTATGCTTGGAAGGTCAAAGGTTCCTTACCCCTGGTGGTGGCATCTTAATATCTCACCTTCCTCTTAATTTTCCTATTTCTGTATAAGCTTTCAGGAATCCTTCTCTTCTACTTGTAAGGCCTAAATATCTATTTTTAAGCTTTTATTCCCAAACAAGGTACATTTCCTTTTCTCCCTCCTAATATAAGGTCTGGAACTGCATATACTGTCAAAGATTTCCATCAGATATGTGAGAAGAATGGTTCAGCAAGCCATATTTTCATGAGACACTGTTGCAAAGTGTGGCTCTTTCTGAAAGAAGTGAAGAACTGTAAGTCAGCCAGGCAGGGTTGCAAAAAAACTTATTTAAAACTATATAAATCTACACTGTTTGCATATGCATCTTGAAGGACCCAGTCACATCCCATGCAAGAAAACAACAAAAATGCTTTCTTCCTTTAGAAGCTGATCACCTCCTTTGACTCTCTTCTCTCTTCCTTATTTTTCTGTCTTTAAAAAGTGTGTTTTCCCCCTTATGTGGGGTATTTTAATAACAGTGAATGTTGTGTTAATTGTAAGGCAGAATTAAATATATCACAGATCTAATATTTAACACATCTAAATGCACTGATATTACATAAAACTAAAATCCAGTCACGGTAGATAAAAATCAAAGGTACGGGGAAAAACTTCTGTAGATCCAATATGGTTACTGAATGTCTCCAACATAGTTGAGAACATTTGCCTGGAAAAAATACAAAGAAAGACTGTTAAATATTGTAGCCTTACTCACAGAGAACTTCTACTTTCCTGTGTACATACTCATAGCTGTCAGCATAAAATGATCCACAACTACTGGAGATGTGAAACAGGAGGCTCCCTTCTGAGTGCAAGACTAGGATCAATTGCTTTTTAGTTCTTTTTCTCCCAGAACAGATGTGCCATTTGGCTAGCCCGGTGGCACTTCACTGATGGAAATCTTTGCTAGTGTAGATTTACTACCAGCACCACAAGAGGATTGGTCCAACTTATCCACCAATAAGCTTTCTCAACAAAACTAGAATCTCCTCTCTCTCTCTCTTTTTGTGAGTTTGCCTCTCTCTCTCTCTCTTTGTGTGTGTGTCTTTGTGTAGGAAGCGTGTAGGATTAAACTCCTGCCCAGGAAGCTAGAGGAGGCCAAGTATTTACCATGCATACTATGTTCTACTTTCTTCTATTTCTTTCAAAGCTTTAGGAGTCTGAATTTCTTTAGCCATACCTTATAAGGATCATTTTGATCCTTCTCCCGCCCTGTCTTTCCAACCCAGTCCTATGAACTGACTTCCTCAAAGGTGAGACGATTCCCACTTGACATTACTTGTCACTTACATAGGCTTTCCTGTGACTAGTATGACGATCCTGGGGTGTGATCTCTTACTGAAAGCATTGCTATAACATATGAATTTCAACATTTCATCGTACAGGGCCACGTCCTGAGAATGCCACCATTAAAAAAATGAATTATTATTCCATAATGAGTACTGTGGCTCCTTCAAAGATTAGCAGATTCAGAAATAATAACACTGAGCATGCTTGGAGAAGTGCTGCAGGCGCCAGGATCCCAGAAGGGCTAGCAAGATGTTCTACTCTCAGTCATACCAGTGCCTAATACAGTGGTGCCTCGCATGACGACGTTAATTTGTTCTGCAAAAATCGCTGTCGAACAAAAACATCGTCATGCGATTTAAAAAAGCTCATAGAAATGCATTAAAACCCAATTAATGCATTCCTATGGGCTTAAAACTCACCGTCCAGTGAAGATTCTCCATAGCGCGGCACCACTGTATCTATTGTTGTGGCACCCACTGTATGCCTGTAAGCTTCCCACAGAATTATCACAGGCCAAATTTTGACCTTGCATTTTACTATTCACAAGTAATTCTGTCTGAGTGGGCTAGCAGGGAAAAGGGTGAAATTGCTCAACGTTTCCTCTGCCAACCCACTTGCTTTCTTTATTAAGCCCAGGGCTCGCGCTTTCCTCTGCTGCCTCCAGGGAAACACAGTGGGGGCTGGCAAACACAGTGGGGGCTTGTCAGCTAGTCCAGTGGTCCTCAACCTTTGCTCACCAGATGTTTTGGATTTTAATTTTAAGAAACCCCAGCTGATATATTAACAGACAGAGTTTCTGGGGGTTGAAGCTCGGAATCCCTGGAAGATTTTTATAAGCAACCCACTTCTTTAAACACCCCCCTTCTTTCTTTAAGGGCAGGGCGCACCGGTTATTGGCTTTGCTCTTTGGGGAACTTAAGTCTCAACAATGTGGGAAGGCGACAGGCTGCTTACGCTTCTGCTAATACAGACTGAAGTGAATACACACCTTCAGAAAAGATGCTACTTGGTTGGCTGAGATGCCGTGAACTTTTTCGAGGTCCTCAATCTGGAGACAGCAGGAAAGAGAAAAATAAAGGCATCACACAACTGCCTAATCATACAGCAAGTATATTTATCAAGGGCCCAGTCAAAATAAGAGGAACATGACAATGTGAGGCAGTCTCTGATGGAGGTAGCCCAATGGTATGGAAAAGCAATGCTGTGTGCTAAAGAGGGCAGGGATCTTAAGGTTAATGACCACTGCTTTGAATGAGAAAAGTCTCAACAGCTGTTGGCCACAATAGTTAAACACAGTATCCATGCACAGGTGGGCAAATGTGACCCTCCAAACATTGTGGTTCTGCATTTTCCAGATTTTCTTACCATCACCTATACTGGCTAGAGCTGACATCGGGAAGACCATGTATTTCCTACCCCGGCTCTAGATTCAAAAACAGTCCGATTCTACATAAGAAGAAGTGTGTCGGATTAAACCAGAAATTAATCTAGTTTGGCATCCTACACCCTCCATGGCCAAACAGATGCCAGTGACCAGACATGGACACAACAGCATCCTCTTGCTTGTATTGTCTGTTCAAAGGAACACTTTCCCCGATACCAGAGGCATCGTGATTATTAGCCCCCAACAGCCAAATTGGTGGCCATCACTGTATCTTGTGGAGCAGAAGTTCATAATTTATGTATGCTCTGTGTAGTGATGAACTCTGATGTCCAGTTGCTAGGGAATCGGAAATGAGGTTGCTTTCCCACCATGCTCGTCAGCTTACTTGGTAACAGCTAGCTCACAAAGAAACATAGGGACCTGGACTAGATGAATCTTCAGTGTTCTTACAATTAGTAGGTTTTCCTTTGGACTTCCAGAGTTGAGAATTGGTAACTATTCCATACCGAAGGCTGCTAAGTTAGCTCCCAGTTGAAACGGGATTCATTCAAGACCAGACCTCTACCCACTAGACTCTTGGTACTTTGGTCCTGGCCTGGATCTCATGTTAAGACAGCCCACTCAGGGTTGTCAGCATGCCCTCCTCATGAGCAGCCACATTTCCCAAATGATAAGTAGCTCTGCTCTCAGTCCACTAACCTTCTCAAACGGCCCATAGAGCTCTTTCCAGCCCACAATGAGCTGAGCCTTTTTCTTGCCGATCCGGTGCAAGGCCAAAAGATCCTTCACGGAGCCTGTGTTCAGAATGGACAGGATGCTCTCCTTGCTCCGAGCCAGCAGGTCAGGACGTAATTTCAACTCCCACTCAGGGGTAGCCTTGTTTTCTGAAGGAAGAGCAGAAGCCTGAATATCAAAAGGAAAATAGGGGTAAATTTTGCATCTTTGAAGCAGTTCCTGACTTACCCTCTTTGCCTTTTCATCCATATCCTTTTACTGTCTCCCCTTTGTACGGTTTGTGAAGTTCAGAACCAAAGACAGCAGGAGAGGCAATGATTACGCAGCGTTCGAGAGACTATGGCAACGTGCTCTGTATGGAGGACTTGAAACAGCGTCTAGTGTGGCTGAGGAGGCCAATTCGAGAGTGACAATCCCTTCCACACTGAGGACAAATACAATCTGTCCCCTCGCCAGCTCCCTGGTTTTGCTGGTTTTGGGACTGCCTCTTTGCCTCAGCCTGCTGGACAAGAGTCTCTTCAAATTGGGAGAGGCCGTGATGCAACGCCTGCCTCCAGGCTGAATGCTCAGATGTCAGGGTTTCCCATCTGTTGAAGTCCATTCCTTTCAGATCCCACTTGCAGATATCCTTGTATCGCAGCTGTGGTCTCCCTCTGCAGCGATTTCCCTGCACTAATTCTCCATAGAGGAGATCTTTTGGAATCCGACCATCAGCCATTCTCACGCCATGCCAGAGTCAATGGGCATAAGATGTGAGTTTACCAAAAGCTATTTGCCTAACTGCCCTAGCAAACTTGCAACAATCACTGGTCCTATTCAGGCATGATGCAGACATGTTTCTTGAACATGTGAGAACTAGGTGTATCCATCCCACTCCTTTGGTCACTTCAGTTGTTCTCTGCAGTCGGAGGACGGTAGATCTGAAGAGAACAGCCTCCACTGACTTCAGAGAGCATGAGTTGGAACTCTGGAAAATCAGGGTTCCAGCTTACATGGACAAATGTCCACGAATAACAGAAGCGGTTCCGCTTCACCTGGTCACCCTCCATGTGCAGAGGCCCATAGATCTGGATACAGGATTCGGGGCTAGTGCACTCTTGCAGTTCACATAGTGAGTAAACAGACTTGCATTGTGACTGATAAAGGTTACTGCTTGCCTATATTCCGTGACAGAACTCCTCAGTTTGTACAAGTGGATGGGTTAATGCTCCATCTCAGTTAAGGCTCTATGTAAACCAATGCAGGGAAACACGTTGCGCTCCGGATGTTGCATGCAATGCAGCTTCCATTAACTTTAGCAGCTTCTTGGTCCACTGCCGAAACTGAGATGGCCTCCCAAGGAGGAAGCAAAGCACTGGATGAAGAAACAGCTGCTTTAGGATGAAAATCTACAACAGACAAGGAGGAACCTATGGCCTTGCCAATGTTGCTTGAGGCCTACTCTGCTAGCACACCCAAAGGTCAGGGATGATGGGAACTGGAGTCCTACAACAGCTGGAACGTCACAGTTTTAAATATTAAAGTATAACTGTGAAGCCATGTCTAAGGCCAATCTGTTTAGTGAAGAACCAGCATATAGAAGAGATTCAGTAGCCGTCCTCTGCTGCCACTCCCAAGCCTTGAACCAAGGGAGAACAAATCCCATCACATACCTTTCTCTTTCGGCCTCCTTTCTTCTGTTTTACAATGAGGACACCTTCTTCTTCCTCTGTCTTTTCTGCTGCCTGCACTAGGGTGAGGAAGAGAAGTTGGAGCTTTGTACGAGACGGGAACAAGATGGAGAAAGGAACCCTGGCTTCCAGAGCCATCGGCCCGCCCACCTTCACATATGTGACTCCTCTTACCTTGCTGGAGGGGCAACACAGCTACCTGTTTCTGGGGCTTGACAACTACCCGCGGAGCAAGTGCTTTGTCCTGCAGAGCCCTGGTTTCCATCTCTTTCTGCTTTTCTTTAACAGTCTGCAGGAAGCCAAGGAGAAAAAGCTCAAATGAGGAAGAAGCGGGGACGGAAGGAAGAGATGGGAACTCTTCTTGATTACCTCCAGGAACAGGAGGTTCCGTCACTGGATTCAGAGACCAAAGATGATCCTATGGAGTCGTTAACTATATAAACCACCATCATGCCACTTGTCATCGCCATTTAGATCACCATCCTCAGCGTGCAACATTGGAGGGATGCAGTGCATCATCAGAATTCTCTTCCACGTTTTGCTATGCCTCACCCATGCTTTCACCTCATATCTCCCCACTTTGGCTTACAGGTAACTGAACAAACTTTTAATAGTCAATGACCATGCTGGCTTGTGGATTCTGGGAGTTGTAGTACCAAAACAACAACAAAAATCCTACTTTTCCTAGCTCTGCTTTCACCACCGGCTACTTTTCCTGCTCCTGTAGGTAGCCAAGGTGAGGTGAGATTTTTAAGAAAGGAAATTTCCACAGTATGGGACAGCCAGTGGAACACCTCTCCATGTCCTTTGGGGCGAAAATACAAATATTACTTCAGGATCAGCAAGAATATTAATGCAAGATTGCAAAATGCCAGCCATTACCTTGCTGACATTCAGAGCTGCTCAGATTCCTGCTTTCCTATGACCTGTTCTTGGAAAATTACAGGCTATGAATCTCAAATCCCAAGCCGGCCTGAGAATTCTGGGAGTCATCCTCCAAAAACTGCAGCTTTTTCAGCTTCTGCCCACAGCGGTTCCACTGAAATCAGGGGGCCGCAGGATGGATAAAAGTCAATGATGTTTTCCAAAAATCAGATTGATTTAAATCACAATTCAAAAAAACTTTTAAATTTTTTTTAAATTGATTTTTTTTTTAAAAAAATCCAATTTTTAAGAATTTTAAATTTAATCCACCATGCGGCGGGGGAAGGGGGAGGCACTGTTATTTCACTAAAACAATTCTTGTGGATTAAGAGACCATGAAAAATCTCCACAGGAATCAAACTTTAGAGGACTTCTCCCCAACTATCATGGCAGGCAGGCAGAATCCGGGCAGCATCCCCATATCTCTGAAAGGTCTATTTGTGTGATGGTGGCACTTATTAATTGATATTTATACAGTAGGATCCCCATTGGCTCCAAGCCTCCCTGCGGATGCTGAAAAACGTAGATTATAGAAAACACTACAACCACCACCGGCACCACTACCTTTGAACTGCAGACATGGAAGGGACCCTATGGATCATTGGGGCCAGCTCCCTTCAAGGAGGCACAGTGGGGAATCGAACTTCCAACCTCTGGCTAGTGAATAGTATACATCGCGTGCTCTCTGGCTTCCTCCTGCGGTCAGTCCTGATAGCTTCATCATTAAAAATTTACATTTGGGAGATTTTTCTTTTAATATTTTCAGACCACAGACAGGTAAATCAGTAGATACCGATCTTGCAGATAATGGCTGGCACTTATTAATTGATATTTATACAGTAGGATCCCCATTGGCTCCAAGCCTCCCTGCGGATGCTGAAAAACGTAGATAATAGAAAACACTACAACCACCACCGGCACCACTACCTTTGAACTGCAGACATGGAAGGGACCCTATGGATCATTGGGGCCAGCTCCCTTCAAGGAGGCACAGTGGGGAATCGAACTTCCAACCTCTGGCTAGTGAATAGTATATATCGCGTGCTCTGTGGCTTCCTCTTGCGGTCAGTCCTGATAACTTCAGCATTAAAATTTTACATTTTTCTTTTAATATTTTCAGACCACAGAAAAGTAAATCAGCAGATACCGATCTTGCCAGATAATGGCATCCTACTGTATACCTGGTATTCTAAAATACATTGTTCAATATGCCAGATGGGGGAATCTTCACTTACTGTTGAGTTTTTCCCCAATAGGAACGCATTTTTCCCCTGGAAAGGAAAACGTTGCTATGCGGGGCACCACTGTACTTGGTATTCTAAAATACATTATTAAATACTGCAGCCCAATTAATTGCTGGGAAGTTTTAAATCAATTTATCTGATGAACCAATTCCACCCACAAAGCTTCTTCCTTCTTTGTAGAGAGGGCATGGGAACATCAAGAATGACTTGATGTTTGCACAGAAGAGGGCCGTGGGTTGCTATGCGGGGCACCACTGTACTTGGTATTCTAAAATACATTATTAAATACTGCAGCCCAATTAATTGCTGGGAAGTTTTAAATCAATTTATCTGATGAACCAATTCCACCCACAAAGCTTCTTCCTTCTTTGTAGAGAGGGCATGGGAACATCAAGAATGACTTGATGTTTGCACAGAAGAGGGCCGTGGAATGTCTACCTCTCTAGATGGTGTCATATCGCCACCCCCCATTCTCCCTCCCCCCCTGCAATTCCAGCTAGGGCCAGTGGGATTTGCTGCCCAGCCCCATCCTGAAGGCTGAGGAGGCAACCCACTGCTGTCATTAAAAGAATAGCAAGGGGATAAAAGCAGAGAAGACCAACATTGCTCACCTGTAGCTCACGCCTAGTCTCATCCAACATCTTCAAAATATCCATCCGTTCCTTGCGCGGCGTGTTGAGGAGAGCCAACCCGTTACTCCCGGCCCTCGCCTGCTCTTTTTCCAAGGCCTCCAACCGCAGCAGCCGTTCAACAACGGATGGCTCAAGATTCTCCAGAGGCAGCAAAGAACTATAGAAGGAAGAAGGACCAGAGATCACGGACCATGTCCCAGCCAGCTTTGCTCACAAACCTGCCAGAGCCCAAATTCCTTGTATGTTATCCGTGGAGAAGGGGGAACCATTCTTATGAAATGCCCAGCACACCTGGAGGAACCAGTTCTGGCTCACCCAGGGAATAGTCGACTCTTATGAAATGCAGCCAGGTAATACTTGGAACCTCACCTGAGTGGCTTCTCCTCGGCTGCACTGGGCTGTTCCTCCTCTAAGCAAGGTTTCTTTGCTTCCGGGCCTGTGTTACTGACGCATTCAAGAGGTCTCTTGGGCGCTCCTAAGGGCAAGAACATTTACACTTACTTGATTTATTATAAGACCTCAGGACCTTCTCTAGCTGGGCTGCCCCCACTCACCATTCAGGTTCCCACTATCTGCTATCAACTACCCCCAGAGAAGGATCTTGATTGTCTGCAGTGTTTTTGATATTATACTTTTGAATTCCATTATGCATTTTGAAGCCAGTCACAAGTTTTCTTGGAACCAATTGTACAGTGGTGCCCCGCATAGCAATGTTAATCCGTTCCGGATTAATCGTCGCTATGCAAAAACATCGCCAAACGGATCAAAAAACCCCATAGGAACGTTCCTATGGTGCCCGAAACTCACCGTTCAGCGAAGTTCCTCCATAGCGCAGCCATTTTCGCGCCCTTGGTAAGCGAGGGCAGGGCGCAAAAATGGTTGTGGCGGCCATTTTGGGCATCCAGCGGCCATTTTGGAACCGCCGATCAGCTGTTTAAAAAAACATCGCAATGCGAAGATTGGTAAGCGAAACGCTTACCGATCATCGCAATGTGATGTTTTGCCACTGAAAACATCGCAATGAGATCGCATTAGCGATCTGAAAAAACAGATCACTATGCAGATTCGTCGTTAAACGGTGCACTCGTTAAGAGAGGCACCACTGTACTATGAAAGGGACAGGATATGAACAATAAGAAGCCCACCTTATCAAAACCATTGGAAGTTAGCTTATGAATTGCATCATAGAATACAATAATATGTGTCGTTGAGTCAGTTTTGATTTATGGCAACCCCTTCCAGAATTCTTCAGGTAGGAAATACTCAGAAGTGACTGGTCATTTCCTTCTTCTGGAGGCGATCTGGGACTGTGCAGCTTGCCCAAGGCCACACAGGTTAGCTCTGCTTGCAGGGGCCCGCTGGGGAATTGAACTTCCAGCCTCTGGCTCCACAGCCAGATACCTAAACCATGGAGTTATCCAATAGACATTCAAATATTACAGCAAAAAGCAAAATCACAAACTATGTCTATTCTGTGAAAACATTCATCCTCTCAAAATGGCAGCAAAGAAAAACTGGAGAAATAAAAAACTACCGTATTTTTCTGTGTATACGACTCCCCAATATATAAGACGACCCCCAATTTTGACCCTTGCCAGAGGTAGATGAGCCGTCAATGAGCAGCCGCGAGAGACGGAGGCAGACATGTTCGGCCGCCCCTCGCCTGCTGCTGCCCCCTCCAGATGGCCTCCTCCAGCACCACTTGTGGGCTCCCTTCGGGCAGGGGGCAAGGCGGAAACGTGAGCTGGAGGTGAGCCCCAGCACTGGCTCCTTCGCCTCCGTCTCCTTCCGCGTATCAAACGACCCTAAATTTTTCCTCTAATGATTGTAGGAAAAAGTACTGTCTGATACACGGAAAAACACGGTACAGGTACTTTTATTTGCCATCCAAACCACATTCACTATTTATGCCGGTTGTACAGTTGTAGGGAAAGTGTTCCAGAGCTTGGGTGCCACCACTGAGGAGGTCCAACTCCTGGCTACTCCTTGTTTAGCCCCAATAGCCTGGGAATGTGAAACAGAACCTTCTGCAGATTATATCAGAGTACGGCTGGGCTGTACAAGGGGTAGGTAGTCCATGTAATATAAACTACATGTATAAACATCTCTGATATTATAATGTGGGTGACTTCACAGGGTCAAAGGCCATTTTTCAGGTTTGCCGGTGGCCTGGGGGACTGCACTCCATCATTTGCATGTTAATTTTTTTTAAAAAAATTAATACAGTAGCTACTTATTGTGAAAGCTGTTCCAATAGCCCTTTCAAGAAGTAAAAATTAGGTTTAACGAAATCAAGTGTTGTATTTTTAAAAAACCCAGAAAAGCCCTCCCACTCTATAGTAGCCAAAAAAAAATCTTCTCTATTAGCAGATTTCATAGAGCTGGTTGCAGACAGAATAAACAGAAAAAGAACTAATTAGTGCTTAATGAACACAGTATATATAGACAATATTTATGATTACAGATTAATTGGAACATTCTTTTAATGTCCACCTATTCTAATTTTAACATATTGATGCAATTCTCTAGACAAGAATACCCTGTTTCCCTTAAAATAAGACCTAATCTGAAAATAAGCCCTATTATGATTTTTCAGGATAAATAAGCCCTACCCCCTAACTAAGCCCCAGTTAGGTGATAGCCCACCCTCCACCCTTGTGCAGTAACCAAAAGAAGAGGGCATGATTATATTTGAATAAATGTAGATTGTTGTACATCCCCTGAAAGTAAGCCCTAATGCGTTTTTGGAGCAAAAAATAATATAAGATTCTGTTTTATTTTCAGGGAAACAGGGTATTAATTAAAATAAAAATATAGTAAAAAAAGTTGTATGGGTCTGCTGTAGAATTACGGATACATGAATTTATTTACAGTGGTGCCTTGCATAGTGAGGTTAATCCGTTCCGGATTAACCTTCGCTATGCTGAAGCATCGCTGAACGGGGCAGCGATTTCCATTGGAACGCATTAAACATCGTTTAATGCGTTCCAAATAGGCCAAATACTCACCGTTCAGCGAAGCTTCAGGATGGCCGGCAGCCATTTTCGCGCCCTCGCCTCGCTTAACGAGGGCGCGAAAACGCTGCGCACGGCCATTTTGGGCCATTTCCCGGCTTCTGGCGGCCATTGTGGCCGCCGAACAGCTGATCGTCGGGGGTCGTTTTGCGAAGATCGGTAAGTGAAACGCTTACCGGTCTTCGCAAAGCGAATTTTTCCCCATTAAAAAAAGTTCAGCGATCGCATTAGCGATCCGGAAAAACGGATCACTATGCGATTTCATCGTTATACGGTGCGCTTGTTAAGCGAGGCACCACTGTATATGATGTTGTCCCCAGTAAAATATAATGATGTAACTGTAATTCTTTTTATGTTATATAGTCCCTGAAGAAGGCTAATAATCTGAAATTCATCAGGCATTTTACACTGGAAATAAAGAGCATTTTATTTTCTACGAAAATATTAAGTCAGTATATCCTCAGGCTACAGTTTCCACTTTTTTTAACCTAATATGTCACTGGATGTATGGTTATTTTAAAATTGCCCCAGTTCCTCCTAGAAATCACAAGACATTTTGACCTATTTTGAGTCCCAAAACTAAAAAAATAAATAAATAAAATAAAGTGGTGTGGAAGGATGGGGAGTTCTTGGGCACTACAGTTCTGCAAAAATTGCCATGGAATCTGCTTGCAATTGAAAGACTGCATTTTCCCATTTTATAGAAAAACCTGGAATATACACACAAAGACCCCATTCCTTTCCAGAGCTTGAGAAAGTTATTTTTGTGATGCCAACTTCCAAAATCCACCAATTAGCGGGGTCCGTGTTCATGCCAGCTGATGGATTCTTGGAATTATACTCCAAAATATAACTTTTCCTACCCCTTTCTTGAGTGGCCCAAGAGTCGTCCTTCCACCGTCACCTCTCCCCCCCACTGAGAACTAGTCATGTCCAGACTCTGCCTGGATCCAAATCAGGTCCAGCCCAGCTCCATTCCTTACCAATCTCTGGTAGGGCTTCCTGAGTGAAGGGTTTGTTCACCACCTGCTTGGATTTGGCAGCAAAGTTGAGGCTTGTGAGGGTATCAAAGTAGTACTTCTTCTCTGGGGCAATGTTGGCAATGATCAAGCTGTGAGCGCTGCCGCCCAGAGAATCCTGGAAGGAGAGTATAAGATACGCAGGAGAAATAGAACGGCACTTAACCCCAACCATCCCAAGATCTACTTTTTCTCCAGAGAAGGAATATGCCTGAAGTACCTGAAGCAGACGTGTAAGCTTGCTGTCTCTATAGGGCACCCGGCACAGCCCCTGGTTGAGGGCATCCACCACCTTGCTGAGCACGAACAGAGACGTGTTGATGGCCCCACTCTCCTTCAGACGCACGCCTTTGTTGCCCGTCCGCCTGTTGTCTTCGGAACCAGCTAAGTCAATCAGGCAAAGCTTGGCGGCCCGGCGTGCATAGGGTGGCCAGCTCTGGGTCTGGCTCACCTGCAGCAGCAGGACCGCGTGGCTGCGGCTGGAGCGCTGGTTGAGCTGCGTAGATGCCACTGTCCGATTGCTGCTGGCAGGCAAGAAGCAGCTTTCAAAATCTGCAAAGCTTGTGATTTCCTTCTGCGTCAAACCAGGAACCAAGATATTGTGGTTGCGATCCTCTCGGATGGGCAAGTCATGAAGGGAGGGCTGGAGGAGGTCCAGAACCTACGGAATAACAAAACGGCATTGGTTTCGGTGGATGCCTCGAGCCACACAATTTCTACACATCTTATCTCCAACAATCCTCAGAGATTACAGCTAACTTAAACAATAATTCATTTTGATCAAGTACAATGAAATCCCACTTCTTGCCCCAGGAAAAGGCAGTGCATTCTGGTAAGGGCCCTTCCCAATGGGAAGGCAATATGCCCTGCCACACCATCTGGGCATTAGCTGACCCTTATTTTTAACTCCTCTTGGTCTTTCTTTCTAGGCAGCACGTCCCAGACTCAGTTTGATCTTGGCATCTTGCCTTCTCCAATGGTCCCGGCATGCAGACCCAGAAAGAGTTATTCCAGTCCTCTCCTTTTCTCAGACTTCCCATCATGCCCCTTATCAGAACTTGGAGAAGCTACATTTTTTAAAGTACAACTCTTGAGGGAGACAGTATTGAAGTTATATCAACAAACATGAAACTGTTTCAAGCTGCTCTGAATCCGGCTGGCAAAAAATATGTTGTGGTGAAAGAAAAAGCAAGAATGCCAGCATTAGCAACCAAATGATTTGTCACAGCAATACTCAGGAAGGTGGAATCCTGATTATACAAACAAATCTTCCCTGGCAGGAAATGCTGCCTGACCTTAAAGCACAAACAAGGCAGCAGACATCTATCAACACAACGGCAGTGTTGTTGTTTAGTCGTTTACTCGTGTCCGACTTTTTGTGACCCCATGGACTAGAGCACGCCGGGCCCTCCTGTCTTCCACTCCCTCCCGGAGTTTGGTCAAATTCATGTTGGTAGCTTTAGTGACACTGTCCAACCATCTCATCCTCTGTCGTACCCTTTTCCACTTGCCCTCACACTTTCCCAACATCAGGGTCTTTTCCAGGGAGTCTTCTCTTCCCATGAGACGGCCAAAGTATTGGAGCCTCAGCTTCAGGATCTGTCCTTCCAGTGAGTACTCAGGGTTATTTCCTTCAAAATGGATAGGTTTGTTCTCCTTGCAGTCCAGGAGAATCTCAAAAGTCTCCTCCAGCACCACAATTCAAAAGCATCAGTTCTTTGCCGGTCAGCCTTCTTTATGGTCCAGCTCTCACTTCCATACATTGTGACTGGAAAAACCATAGCTTTGACTATGTGGACCTTTGTCGGCGAGGTGATGTCTCTGCTTTTTAAGATGTTGTCTAGGTTTGTCATCGCTTTCCTCCCAAGAAGCAGGTGTCTTTTAATTTCGTGGCTGTTGTCACCATCTGCAGTGATCATGGAGCCCAAGAAGGTAAACTCTGTCACTGCCTCCATATCTTCCCCTTCTATTTGCCAGGAGATGATGGGGCCAGAGGCCATGATCTTAGTTTGGCAGTATCTGTTGCTAAAAACTGCTGGACCACACTCTTCCCTACATACCTGGCACTCTAGTCTCACTGTGTCCTCAACCACCTTTCTTCCCCAAAGATTCCTTAAACAATGAACGTTCCAAGTTCAATTCTCCCTTTCATGCAGGATTCCTTAAGCAATGAACGTTCCAAGTTCAATTCTCCCTTGTCAGGCATCTCTTACTTTCTCCTGGTAGATTTCCAAGTAGGACATGGAGACGGAGTATTTCCATCCATCTGCTGAATCATCTCTGGTCATTTGCAGGACATCTCGAACAGCTCGAGGGATGACCCCAGGCTGATCTGGAGTCCCCAGCATTGTATGTGTCTTGCCTGTAAAGAGATAGGAGAAGAAAGACTGAAAAATTTAAAACCATTATATTCCCTTCCATACCCCCCCAGCTCCACTGAGCCTGTTTCATCTATTTGCTCCACTTTGAGTTCACCTGCTCCAGTAGGTCCATAAGCTAAAATGCTGGCATTTTGTCCCTCCAAGAGATGACGCAGAATAGGCTGAACAGATCCCATGTAGATCTCATGTTGACTGGCTGATGCACCATAAAAAGCATCAAATCTGTTGGGGAGAAAGTAAAAGGACTGGGACAACGTGGTTGCTTTGAAAATGGAGCAGTCTTTAAGGTGGGGACATAAGCAGCTAGAGGACAGTGTATGAGGTCAGAGAGTCTGACGCCTGAACATTTCCCCAAGAGTCCTACATAACTTTATCAATCTCTAGGAAACAAACAAACAAACAAACATAAACCAATGTTCGTCACAGCTGGTATTTATCTGATTTAGGGTTAATACCACAATGAAATCAGACAATTTCCAATCATATCAAAATTCATCTGGGTATCAAGATATAAATCTTTCAATTGTTGCAGTAATTTTGGACAACATCAGCTTGTCTAATTCTACAAGCTCTATTTATATACATTGCTTCTATCTTCCATATGCACAAAAATACTTCCATGCTGTTCAGAACATCCAGACTTGTTACAGCTATGGAAAATTGTAGGCATGAATGCTTAAAAAATAAGTTAAAACTAAACTTAAATTGCAGGCAAACACTTAAGTCAGATTTCAATCCAAATTACAGGAGCATAAACAGTACAATAAAAACATTTTTAAAAAGTTTTAATTACATTCCAAAAATGCAGAATCTTATAGCCTAGAAAGGCACGTTGAAAAATAGAGAACACACTTCTAAAACATATAATGTAAAAGTAAAAACATGATAACTTTGAGTGATCTTGATCCTTTTATCATATTCCTAGAAACACATTAAAAAATATTCTAAGTGCTCACTCAGCCAAACTAGTTTGAATTTATGGAGGAAAATTCATGTTGTCCTCCTCTACTGTTGCTACATTATGCCTAATGCTCCTTGGTATCCAGTGTCTGTGGTGACGTGTGGAGTTGCATTATATGTTTTTCTTGTTTCCCTATATTTATACAGTTTTTCTCTCAGATATTTGTTTATTTAAACCATTTTACCCCACCTTTCTCCTTAAAAAGGACCCAAGGTGGCTTACATAATTGAAACACAATTTACATTTCCCTTCAACTGTAAACAATTGGATTTGCTTATGTAGTAACTTATAGAGGTCCAATGTACGGGGGGGGGGGAAGCTTTTACTGAGATGGCAAAATACAACTCCTGTTAAATCAACATCTGGCAAGCTGCCACCATGATGATAACATCATTTGACTAATTTATTAGGCCAGCAGGTCAGTGGTTCAGTTCAAAGTAAGGCCCCTAATTTTGAATAATCAACCACGTACTAGGAGACAACAAATTTAAAACAAATGCATTTTGTCTCAATTTTCCATCCGACTCACTGGTATTTCATTGTCTCCATTTCATTCCTCCAGTTGAAAATCTCCAGGGAACGGGAGTCTACGCCTCGTACACAAGGAGCGTCTTGACCCTGTCCGGTTCCCACACCAGGGCGCAGTCGCACGCAAACTCGCACTCGGGCAGGTGCATTATTGGAGACTCGATGGAACACTGTCCGCCTTGGATGGTGAGTCATCATGCCCTAACAGGAAAAAGAAAATCTGTCATTACAGGACCTTCTCTCCTTCTTGTCAGACACAGAGCTTTTCAGTGACACAAATGAAACTATTAACATCAAATTTGTTATGTTAAAGCATTGTTCTATATATACATCCATTCATTTGGCTTTCTTTTTAACATAAAAGTAATGATCTTAACATTAACATTAGAAATTAATGCATTTACCAAGCTCTGGATGCAAGTCAGACAGCATCTGAAGACAAGCAGCTTCTCAGTAGTGGCATCTGGCCTGTACATTTCTTCCCCCAGGAAGGCTTATGGTATTTTCAGTACCACAATCAGACCTTTATATTCCCATGCTAACGATAATGTCTTGCTGTTCATTTTAATGCTGTAGTGCTTTAATGCACATGTTATTTTTGGCTTTTTGCGATGCAGACAATTTATTTATATTTGTGTGTCTGCATGTGCATGCACACACACAGAGGACTAAAAGGTGTAAAACTAGCTCCACAGAATAAACTGAAAGAAACTCAAAAGATGAGTTCAAGGATATGCAGAAACTTAAGGAGCCACATATTTAGAGGAACCCCCCCCAAGGAAGTCTTTGGTGTATCTGGAGGTTGAGTCATGGCAACTGGACTTCTTTCTTATTAGGTCGAAAAGTGTACTATATGGTGTATGTTTTCAGATCTCAATCTCCATAATCCCTTATTCGCCAGCTATGTTGAGGTAAAGCCGAGGGGAGTCTCAGGCCAACATCTTCAGGGTCAAACTCTATGGTATGTGCTATCAAGTCCCATTCAACGTAAGGCAATCCTAGTAGGGTTTTGAGGTATGTAAGATATTTAAGGAGAAGTTTTACCACTGCAGGAACCCCAAACAATTTCTATGGTCAAGCTGTGATTTTAAGCCAGACCTTATAAATTTATTTTATTTTATTTATTCCATTTATCATTGCGACCACTCTAGGAGGCTTACAACACAAAATACAAAACAAGCATAAAAAAGGAATTATTACAGAATTAAAAAATTCTACAAGATGGGGAGCAAACAAAATAAATCATAATAGAGAAAGAAGGAAAGAAAATCAGAAATTAACTAAACCACACTGGCCCACCCATTATAGAAGGATGCAATTTCAAAACCAGGGCGACCACTGCTGCTCAATGCCACCAAAACGGGCTATAAGCCACTCACTATTTGCAATCATGCTTTGAAATACAAGGTGGACGGGCATCTACGTTGTAAATTAGAATAGCTTTACATTAAGACGGCAGCTGTATTAAACCAAGTGTCGAAATCGCTTGAGAAATAATTAATACCATGCTGATCTACCTTTTTAAAAAAAGCAATGCTCGCCCCCAGTTTGAGACCCATTTAAACGTGCTTGCTTCTTGATCCTTTGAACCACAGGCATTGTTTACTTCCAAGTGAGAGGGTTTGGGAAGACCTTAGGATCCCCTGCCATTGAATAAGGATGCTAGGTTTTGCTTCTAAAGACCCGGCGCCTCAGAATACTGACCTGTTTAAATTCTCCGTCGGTTCCTCAAGGACGGCAAAGCTCCATGAAAGGGGATCCCTAGCTTCGCATTTGGGTTTGGCGCTAAGCCCACCCCTAAATTAAAACTGGCCAATAGGAGGAGAGGAAGGTAACGGCCGTTGGCTTACCACGCATGCGCATTAACCTCCGCAGCAAGGCACGGAGGAAGGCAAGCAAGCCCCATAGAAGGGGGGCATTAGGGAAGGAAGATTCCACGGGGAGAGGGGAGGATTTGAACCCAGGTTTCCGGAGTGTGAGGCCGGCACAGTCTTCTCTACACACTGTACCGGGGATCTTCGAAAAGGCAGCTGAAGTGCTGAGAGAAAATCTAGAATAATTAATAAAACGGCAGACTTAAAGGCATTGTCGTGTTGGCCATGACAATGTTCGTATCTCAGCTTTCTTCCGATGACGGGGGGGGGGGAGGCACCTCATATTGTGAAAACATGCAATATAAAAAGCACAATAACTTTCAGATGAAAAAGTAATTGAATGTGCAATAAGAATTACAAATTCGTTAATTAAAAGGCATTTGAAACGTCAAAAATCTTAGAAAAAAATGGCCAGGGACTTGTTTCATATAAACATACATTTCACATATACATGTAAAGGTATAATAACACACTTAAGAGTGACTGAAAACACAAATACAATATGAAATATGAAATGTCTCTTAAGGGCAAAGAACTTGGCAAAGGAGGGCGGGGGCAGCTGATCTTTCAACTTTGTGTGTCAAAGCATTCACATGCTTCATCCATCCTCAATCCTACTGCATCATCACTTTTTCTGGAACTGTCTAACTCTTCTTTGAAAAGCAAAAGTCTATAGGTTAGTGATAAACATTTTTATTCTCAGGCAGAATCCAAAGAAACAAAACAAAGATTATATTGTGCTACACACAAAAACATAGATACTGGATGCTTTAAATGTTGGCTTTCCATTCTTCCTGTTGAATGTAAAGGTTCCCCTTGACATTTAGTGCAGTCGTGTCTGACTCTAGGGACGGTGCTCATCCCCGTTTCCAAGCCATAGAGCCAGTGTTTTGTCCAAAGACAGTTTCTGTGGTCACGTGGCCAGCGCGACTAGATACGGAACATGAATACCCCAGTTCATTTCTGTTGTTATATGTCATAAGTCAGAACCAGTTTATAGATGGGCATTTCAAGGTAAGTGAGATGTTTGAAGAGTGGTTTTACCAGTTCCGCTCTGCAGGCAAATTTCCATGGCTGAGTAGGGCTTTGAACCCAGGCTTCCTGTGTCTTAGGATATCACTCTATCCATACACCATAGTGAGTATCTGAAAACCCTGTTAGGGTTACTATAATTTGGAATTGACTTGACAGCATGGAACACATCTGTTGTTAGCCTCCTGATTGATGTGTACTACTGGAGTAGGCAGAGGAAATGTAGATATACAGTATTTGTGCTGAGAATAGGAATCAACTATAAGATAGTTTTAATAAGTGTCATTTCATCTTGCAGTATAATACAGCAATTGTCTGTAGAAGAGATGATTCGACTACTTTAAACTCACATTGCATTAATATAAAAAGCAACCCTTCCCCAAGACTATAAAGCCATTAATAAGATATAGGTGCTACAACCATACAGTGGAACAGCAGCTCAGATAAATTCTGGTGTTAAACTATACCACACTGGGTATCCAGTTCATTTCTACTTAGAAGTAAAAAAATGTACAAACTGGATTTATGTACTGTGCAATTTTTCTGTATTTCTTTGAACTATAGCAAACAAACAAAGAACAGATTTCTCTTGGCCTGGGATAGACTGTGGCAGGTTGTTGCTGGAAGTGTGGGAAGAAGAGACTTTTTGGAAAACCGACCAGCTCTTCCACGGAGTGGCTTCTGAAGGGGTGGATGTAAGGATCTTTTGCTGGTTGTCTTCGAAGTGCTCTTTGATGTCATGCAAGGGCTTTGATTTTTCCATTCTAAGAAGCAGAGGTGATCTTGAAAAGTCTATACAGTATGTCTTTCGGTTTCTCCCCTAAGAGGTGGGTGTTGACCACCACTTTTTTCACCAACAACCCTTTGTTGTGGCTCTTGATGTCTGAAGCCATGCTTTTAGTGATACCTCCTTCTGGGATCCGAGAATAATCTTGGATCTGATACTGTTCCGTTCTTATTTGTTTATATACAGTATACATATGTATAATATACATACATAATGGCAAGCTTTTATTGACAAAATATGCTTTTCACATTAAATGCCTTCCATCAAGATTCCATAAATTAAAACAGGCACTGTAACATTAAGGGGGCTTGCTGTTACAATTATTTCGAGGTCCTTAGGACGTCGACAAACCCGACGTCGGTTCGAAACGGGTCACTGGAGTAAGAAAGTGACGCCGCCGGCAGCCGGGACTTAGCGGTTCTCGAGCTGGGCTCGCCGCCGGTCTCAGAAGGCGCGCAGGCGCTGAAGGGGGAGGTTCGAGTCGTCTGGCTTCCGATCGATTGCGCTGGGCTCGGCCTGTAAGGGCTGGCTGATGTGGCCGGGGCTGCGCGGGAGCAGGGATGCCCGGATGGGCTGGTCACAGGGATGGGGGTGGGGCAGAGGGGGGCGGAGCGTGAGCGCCCGGCTCCGTTTCCTCCTTCGGAGACCTGGGGGAAGTCGCGGGAAGTTGAAACAAGTGACTTACGAGCCGTAGCCTCCCTGAGCATGTGCAGAGTGCCCTGCAGCATCGAACTCAGGGAGCCAGGTTAAAACACTTGGAAGTCCCGTGGAATAAGTCTGATGGGCATTAGCAGAGAGAGAGAGAGAGGAGGCCTGATCCGGCACACGTGCTTTTTAAACAGAGAAGTAAGTTCCACTGTGTTTCAGGGGTGGCTTCCTTTCAGGAGGAGAGAAGCTGACTGGAAGTGGCGCTGAAGGCTTCCATTGACCGGTTGTGGTTGTGTGTCCCTAGGTTGCCTCCATCTTCAAGGAACCCAATGAATTTAGACCTCCTTTGGGCACATCATGAGAAAGCAGGATTCTCTGGAAAAGATAGTATTCATGGGAAATGTGGAAGGCAGCAGGAAAAGAGGAAGACCCAATACGAGATGGACAGATTTTCCTACTCACAGGCTTGAGTTTACAAGCACTGAAACAAGGCAGTTGTGGACAGGACATTTTGGAGATTGCTCATGCATAAGGTCGCCAAAAACTGGAAGTGACTTGGTGGCACATAACAACAACAAATGAATCAGTCACCGTCTGAATTTTCCGTTGTTAATGGGCCTGGTCATCTCTTGCAAACTCACGCCAGTGGCTTCCTTTATGGAGCCAGGCCATCTCATCTTCCATCTTTCTCTTTTTCTGCTGCTTTCAACTTTTCCTAACATTATTGTCTTTTCCAGGGGAGGCACAGTGTACCTAAAACATAACAGCCTCAATGTTGTCATTTTTGCTATGGTGGGTGGTTGAGTTAAGACATGGATAATTCTGGGCTGCATTCAGCATTGAACGCATAATTATTTGGCATTATTTACAAAACTGTTTCATGAATATAAGAATGGTTCTTAGTATAGTTTTGGGTCAAGTTTTTACTCTTGCCTGCAGAGCTTAGGTTTGTCTGCATTAAATTATAATCGTGCTTAACATTTATCATAATTTTTTTGCAGTTTTAATACTTATATTTTACCAATGATGTAATGCAACAATGATGTAATGATGTAACAAAAATGCAAACTCAGAAATAAAAGTACTGTATTGGGGAACCTTAAAGTGGAACAGATTTATTTCAGTGTGAACTTTAATAGATTATAATGCACGTCTCCAGACATATGAACCATCCTGATATAAAGAATCTCAGAGTTCATTATTTGTGTTTATAAGCCTACTGTCACTTTGAACTTTGATTTCTGTACTTCTGCCCATCTTCACTGAACACCCAACTTCACAGTGTCTTAGAGAGAGAGGGATAAACACTCACACTCCTCTGAGGATATATTTGACTCCATTTGAGTAAGGAAGTACATTGTAATCCACAAAACCTCACACCGAAATATAGTTGTTAATCTTTAAGATGCCCCAGTATTTTTATATTTTTGTTCTGATTTGTTATTTGTTTATGTTATTTATAGTTGTAGGTCGTATACTGCACACAGTAACTGAGATTTGCATGGCTACGTCTTTGAAAATGTGTTCCGTATTGCTGATGGTGGTGTTGAAGTTAAGACAAAGTAACTGAGCTGAGGCTTCCTAATGAATTCATGTTTTCTAGCAACTGTCGTAAAAACACTCAGTCAGAACTAAGCCACATTAAACTCAGAGAAACTTTCCATTGTGGACACATACAGGATTATGCTGACACTACATTAGACTGGTCTTAAAATGTTACATTAAAATCAAGTGATAACCTGGAAGAAAAATCAAACTTGTAGATTATAAGTACTGTAGTCTCCATACTATTGTAGATTCATAGTTGCAGGGACTGTTTTCAGATGCTTTCATGAAAAATAATGCTTTGCTTTTTAACTTACTACAGGTTTAGGTTGAGAGCATCCTCTTTTAGGAGACCTGTCTTCTCTGCATGAGGATTTCATTTTTTCTGGTGGAAGAGACTTCAAATACAACTTCCCTACTGATCTAACTAATTGTTCCTATCAAAGGTATCCTTTAAAATAAGTTTTTCCCCATTGTGATTTGGAGATTACTGTAGCAGACTGTGTATGCAAGCACCTGTGTGCAAGAATCTCTTACTCTCCTACAAGTTGGTAATGAGAGACTCAATCTTGCGTTTCCCCACAGGGAATTTTTGCAGCCCCCAAGGCCAACTCAGAATGCATACAAGAAGGTGGAGAGACTACAACAATCTCAGATAAGGCTGGACCTCCGTGGCAGTTTTTGCAATCCCTCAGTATCCACACAGTTGCAAAAAAAAAAGGAAAATAATTTGCTTAGAAAGTCCCCTTGTTCCCTCTGAGCAGTTTAGAAAGCATGTTATGAAGCTCCAAGGGTGGAGCTTCATAACCTCCAGCCTTTAATTAAAAAAAATTGGGGCCTAGTGAGTATGTAGGGGGACCTTTTCTGTTTTTAAATAGTGGTGGTGTTGCTTTTAAAATTAAATTCATTCTTCACTGAACGAAAACCCATTGTAGCAGTGGTTGTAGCACGTAGCCATTACTTTATTTTTTTAAGTTAAAATATGCATATCAGGCCTGTTAGCTAGTCTGAAAAAATAGCTCTTGGCACTTCTGAGATCACTTATCCCAATCTATGCTCATTTTCAACACATTTGGAGCCCTGGCACATTTGAAGGGGGACACAGATTGGAAAGAATTCTTCACACGCACCCTTATAAGGCTCGTTATGGGACTTCTACCATCCTGATCCAGCCTACATTTCTTTCACATTGTGTCTATGACCTTGGTCAAAAAAAAAAAAGAGTTAAAAATGGCTGTTTTAGAGGAACAGACTGAACTCCTAACTACTTGAGACAAAAGTACAGCTTGCACAACTAACCATTGTTTATGTGTTGCTTTTCTTCCAAGGATCTCAAGGTGCTGTATGTTGACCTTAGCCTGCTGTTTTTACTCTTGCAACAATGCTGTTAAGTAAGTTCACTTAGAATGAATGGCCCAAGAACAGTCATGGGGAAGCAGGAAACCTGAGTCTCTGCAGTCATGGGCCAACACAGTGAACTGCTGGGTTTTGCAGGAAAGTGTAGTAAAAGATTCTCTGTGGACAGCTGCTTGCTGAGTTGATTTCACTGCATGCTTCTTCTGTCCCATCCCATTTGTAGTCTACATATCAGAGCAGTCCAACAAGTTGTGCTGGAGGTCAGAGGCCTGATGGCCGGAGATTGGACATGACCGGTATCTAGAGGTGCTAAGCAGAGTTATCAAAAATCAGATGATGTGTGCTGAACGGCACGAGAGCTCCAGGAGGCTGGAAGAATAAGATACACTAGGATTCCCACAATTCCGTTAACCAACAGATTCCACACAACAACTGAAGTTTTATTTTTTAACTGGTTCAGATGGGGATCAAGATGAAGATTATCTATACTGTGGTATGTTCAGTAACGTTTGCAGTAGAATAGACTGAAAAAGAGTGACCGGTCCAACTGGTTTTATGCTTGAATAAGGAGTTCAGTAACGTTTGCAGTAGAATAGACTGAAACAGAGTGACCAGTCCAACTGGTTTTATGCTTGAATAATGAATATAAATCTCAGCAGTCCAGGTGTGTTGTTTGAAAGTATTGTACTGGGATTTTCCTCCAAATGGCTTCTGCATTGTATTAGCCATGTCCTTGATTAGTTTATTTATTTATTGGATTTCTATCCCGCCCATCTAGACCGAAGGTCCACTCAGTGATGTCCCATCTTTTGCTGCGTCTATCCTCTGTGGTCATTTGTTCTCTCTCCCCCTCTCCTTCCGCACACACAGCCATGGAAGAAGCCAGCACTGTGGAGGAAGGGGAAGTGACCTCAGGGATGCAGTCCTTGGCTGTAGAAGATCCGCCTGCCCAAGACCTTTCTCCTCCCACAGAGGATCAGGATGAGGCCCCTGAGGAGGAAGAGGGGGAGAAGGGAGAGGAATCTGCTGAGGAGGACTGGTGTGTGGCCTGCAGTGATGAGGAGCTGGAATCCCCAGACAGCTGGATGCCTCCCCCTGAGGAGATCCGGCGCCTCTATGAGCGCATCGCTGCAGAAGGGACTTTGGAACTCCAGGCAGAAATCCTGCCCCGACGCAACCCCACCCCAGAGCCTGACAGCGAAGATCAGAATAAATCTGAAGGGCAACCCGAACACCAGGAAGAAGAGGAAGAAGAGAAGTAAGAGTGGGAGTGGGTCGGCAGATGGGTGCGTTTAAGGGAGGAGAGCGGGCCCAAGATCTGAGGCGAGGGAAAAGAAGCCGCAGTCTATGGTGCTTTGTTGATTCTCACTTTCTCTGTTTGCCCCAGGCCTCACGTGCCAACAGAGTTCGATTTTGATGATGAACCTGCCTCACCAAAAAGTTCCTTGATAGATCGTCGGAGAACCCCTGGTACGTGCAGAAGGAAAACTGTGTTTCCGTAAAAAATTTTTAAAAGTTGTGCTGAATCAGACAGTAACCTATCTGTGTTCCCACAGTGCTCAAATGGCATCCATTCATTCAATAAATCTATCATTGATTTAAAATATTTTTACCCTGCCCTTCTCCTAAAAGAGGACTCAAGGTGGCTTGCATCATTAAAAATATATATATATATTGAAAGCTAAATACAATCAGTTATTTGAATATTTAACTCCCAACCTTGGCTTAAGGAATTCTAGATTCACTCCAAAGTTTCATATACACATAGTATTCTTCTCCAGGTGTCTCTGGCATATGCTTTTTCCCTTGTGGCCAGTTACTGTATTTTATTGTATGCCTGTGGCCTTTTTCTGCCTCCTTTGTGTTTGTTTTCCAGACAGTCCTAAAGTATATGTTTGCCTTGTTCTGGTAGGCTCCCCTTCTTTTCAAAGATGGAGGTGGTCCGAGTGCAACCCCCTAAGGAGCCTTCCAATAAGAACAAACAAGCACAAACAAACAAAACAATGGGGAGAGGGGAAATGGAGATTTGTGTCCCCAGAAGCGGCCAGGAGATAGAGGTCTCCATTTACAGAGTACTGTACAGTGGTGCCTCACAAGATGAATGTAATTCGTTCCGCGAGTAGCGCTGTCTTGCGAAACTTTCATCTTGCAAAAAGCGGTTTCCCGTAGGAATGCATTGCAATGCATTCCTATGGGAAACTCGCAAGACGAAAATAATTCATTCATCTTGTGAAAAACATTCGTCTTGCGAAGCACGACCATAGAAGAAGCCATCTTGTGAGGCACCACAGCGATCTTAAAAACCATTCATCTTGTGGGTTTTTCGTCCCGCGAGGCATTCGTCTTGCAAGGCACCACTGTATTTTCTCCTTCCAGATCAGTCTGAAGTCCACAATAGCTTTGGCTTGGGGAAAAATGTTGAGTGCTGTTTATAGAAGTCTAGGAGTGTTTAAAAAAGTAGCCCTCAAGCCTTCCAAGTTTGCCTCTCCTGTGTTTTAGGCCTTGCCTTTATTCTGCTTCTGCTAGCTCACCCTGTCACTCATGTTTCTAAGTCATGGACATCCCAGGATTCTTCCACAGTGCACAAGAGCTCTGCCAGAAATTATTTTCTTCTGGAGGAGAGGATCATCTCATAAAGCCAAGAGTGATTGGCTGGGAGAGTTGGTAGTGCTCTAGACGTAATAAGATACATGGGAAAGGGGTCATGTGGCCTTAGGTAACATGGACCTAGATTCAGCAAAGGAAGATTTGGGTAGTAGAAAAGGATTGTTGAAAGAAAATAGTTTTAATGGGATCTGGAACCCTTCTATAGAACACATATTTACAAAACATAAAGATTATATTCCAACACAAGAATCATATTTTTTGGAAAGAGGCAAGGCATGTGATATAAATTAATTTATATTACACACCCTGTCTCTTTCTAAAAAATATAATGATTCTTATGTATACTGATTCTGTATGTATTCTCTCTCTCTCTCTCTCTCTCTCTCTCTCTCTCTCTCTCTACACACACACACACACACACACACACACACACACACACCATTGGTGGTGGTTTGCACTGTATATTCAAGTTATGATTGTATTTGTCATTTATGCTTTTATTATCTGAAAATAAATTTAAAAAATAATTTTTTAAAAAGGAAGGATTGGGTAAGGCCGTTCCTGTGAAAAATATGGCAGGGTGATGGGACAGATGCATCGGGCTGATTGGGAAAGAAGGCCAACCTTTTTATCTCTGTTAAAATACAGACTGAAATGGCATCAGAGAAGACTGTTTCCTAGCAGCATTGTGTCCTTTTGGCTTGCGTTCCATTAAAAAATATCGCCCTGCTTCCTCCCACTGACTCTCCAAGTCCTAACTTGTGTCTCCTTCTTTAGGAACTTTGGCTAAGAGCCAGAAGAGGGAGGCCCGTATGGATAAGGTGCTGTCTGACATGAAGCGCCACAAAGTCTTAGAGGAACAGATCCTGAAGACGGGCCGGGATCTCTTTGACCTGGACTCGGATGACGTGCCCACTCCAAAGCGCCCACCAGGTCTCTTTCTGCGTCAGCGCAAATACTGAGTGCAGTGAAGAAAATAAGCCTTTTGGTTTGAAGTCGGAGATGGGAGAAGGAACCACAGGCAGTTAGATTTTCATATGCAAGGGGAAAGGAAATCACAGCACAGACCAACGTTCCCTCTAAGCTGTGCAGGTGTGTCGCTGTGCAGCGCTGTATTGGTGTCACACCCCTGCAGTTAGTGTTGCCACTCATTTGTTTCCGGACAGAAGTTTGTACATGCAGGATGGGGTTCCCACTCAGTTGTGGTTGTGGAAAAATTAGAGGAAGTGCCATGGACTTTGGGTGAGATCCTGTGCTGGCTGCAGGAGATGCTGGCATTTGGTTATTTGTATATAATAAAACTCTGTGAGTTTAACTTGATCATCTCTTGAGTTTTTGGTCTCATGAGTCATGGGGAAAATCTTAAATTAGAGGGAAACATTTGGAGAACCAGAACTTTGAGAAGTTATTTATTTGGATGCCAGCTGGCAGTATCCCCTCAGCTAAGGCATTTTGGGGGGGAGGGTCCAAAAAGGATATTTTCCTAGGCTATGAAATAATAATTGTTTGCCATCAAGGCAATTCTGACTTATGGCAACCTTTTTGAGGGTTTTCTAGGTAGAGAGTACTCAAAAGTGGTTTACTATTGCCTTCTGGGGGCATCCTGAGACTGTTCAGCTTGCCCGAAGGCTGCATAGCCTGGCTGTTCTGGGATGCATAGTGAGGAAGTGACTCCCAGCTTCTGATGCTGCAGCCAGATACCTAACTCACAGCACTATCCAGCCTATGTAGGTAATAATGATTTGATTGGATTGATAATAATAGCCTTTGAATTGCAGAGCTGGAAGGGACCCTATGGATCATCGAGTCCACCCTCTCTCAAGGAGGCATGGTGGGGGATTGAACTTCCAGCCTCTGACTCCACAGCCAGAGACCATTTTCCATGCTCGTATTGGTTAATGCCCCCTCCCTTGGTCTGGTCAGCATGACAGTCATGATTTGATTTCAATTTTGCAGTTTGTGCCGTGTTTCGGAATTGCTCAAAAACAAAGTGCAATTGCTGGGATGACCCCCACCAGCACAACTGCAACTCAGCGGTGCACCGCTTGACGACGATAATCTATTCCGTTAAAATCGCTGTACAGTGAAATTGTCAAGCGGGGAAAAAAACCATTGGAATTCATTGAAAACCAGTTAATGCATTCCAATGGGGAAAATACCTGATCATCCAGCAAAGATCCTCCATAGGGCAGCCATTTTACGATCCCTATGTTGCGAAAATAGTTCCTGAAAACAGCGGGGAGCCATTTTGTGAACCGCCGATCAGCTGTTTTTAATTGTCGTCCAGCAAAAAACTGGTTCACAAAGCAGGGACCGAAACAACGTAAAGTGAAAAAGATTGTAAAGCGATTTCGTTGTCTAACAGGGTCATCATTAAGCGGGGCACCACTGTTTCTAGTATTGAACTGGAAACATCGTTTTGTGATCGCTATAGCGATCATTGTAAAGCGATTTCGTCGTCTAAAAGGGTCGTCATTAAGCGGGGCACCACTGTTTTATTATTGAACTGGGGTAGAAGGTAGTGATACTTCTCTTCAGCTTCTGGGAACTGTGTGTGGTTTGAAGCAGATGTCTCTGTTTGGCGTTCCTGTTGATCAGCAAAAGCTAATCGAGGAACAAGAGTTAGAAATACATTGATATGCCAGACTTTGACAGATGAACTCCAATAATGGATCTTATTTTTAAAAATTATGATTTTTTGATGTGTCTGTTTCTGATCCTTCAAAAGATTTTGCAATTTATTTTTAAAACCAGTCTTCTGAAGAATAGAAGGATACCCTCCACCAATTAAAAATAGCTTTAGAACATGTGCCCAGGATCTCTAAGGCATGTTTGTAAGGCATTCCCATGTAACTCAGAGATGTGTGTTTATGTGTTTGGATATCAAGCCTTATTTATTGTTGCAGGCAACAAGATAAAGGATGCAGAGAAAACATATGGATGCAAAAATGGAGGCAGAAGGTCTTGTCTCTTTTTGTCTGGCACTATTCTGGTGGTGGAATAGACATGAGCTTGATCATTCTCCCTGCATCCTCCCCTCTCAGCCATGCAGGCTTGTATGAATTATTCTAATAACTTGCATGGATGTCTCTAGTGACATATCATTCTCTGAAGCTATTGGTTTACTCAGGCCGCTTAGAAGACCTTCCTCAGACTATTTTTCAGCAGATTTTGATTTGTGACATCTGTACAATGCAGTTTTTTTTTAAAGTGTAAGAATGGAATACAGTACTTGACTCATTTTGTTTCCTGGTTTGTAAATCTGCTCCTTTAATGCCCGCTCTGAACAAAACGATGCTGAATTTTTATTCCAATAGAGGATTCAAGTCAGAGAGATAAGGGAGGCTCTAAAGATTTTATTGAAGTACTGTACATCTTAATTGCTTGGGGTTCTTCTAGAATTAAATCCTATCACACAAAATTGCAATAGAGCTGCAGCTTGGGAATTAACAAATGACACAGACAGGTGAGTGCTTATCTTGAGTGATTTCTCCTTCCTGACACCTAGAAAAAAACCCATGCTGCTTGAAATAGTATTGTCCAACCCTGGACCCTCTAGTATGTTGGACTACAACATGTATTATCCCAAGCCAGCATTCCCCCGTGTTGCCTGTTAGTGCGCATTGTTGTCCAGCGAGCACATCCAAAGAGCAATTTAGGGAAAGTGGCACTAAAATCAGGCTTGCTGAACTTCCAGATACCTGCTAAGGGTTTGTAGCCAGGAGCGTAGCCAGCAGCATCTGCACGGTTCCAAAATTATAAGCCTGCAAGATTAACAAAACAGGTCACAAGATAACTGTCCAGCCTGTCACTGTGTACCATAAATGCCGTGGAAAGAGGAGCTGAGGTACACCATGTCACAAAGATCCACAGGGCAGGTATTTGATAAGAATTCACAGGATCACTATGATGGAAATGAAGACACACATACACCACGGCCCCCTTGCGACATACTTCCTTTCGTAGATTCTTGGATCTGATACAGCACTCTGGATTTAAGGAACATCTCTCCTATCCAGACTACATAATGGTGAGTGTAACAATATCTATATCAAGGCGGTCACGTAGGAGGCTTTTGATGACTGAAGAGCAGCGAACATTAGTGGTGGCATTGTGGTTTTGTTTCTTCTGGGCTACAATACCTGATCCAGGCAAGCATCTACCGACCAGGAGCAAAGATATAATCCAGGGCCTGCCGCTCAGGTCCCGCCACATTGGGATGCCAGAGGTCCACAATAAAAATCACACGGGGTCCATCCATGGGAGAACCTGTAACAAACATGGTTATAAGGATTGTCTCTTTGATGTAGCCTTCCAAGTGATACAAGATGTTTTATTTTGTGGTAGCATCATAATATCCTGGCAAGCAAATGAGCCATGCCAATTCACATTCTTCTGGTTGTCCCTGTGCTGAGTAAGAATCTTAGAATCACAGAACAATGGAGTTGGAAGGGGCCTGTAAAGCCGTCGAGCCCAACTCCTTGCTGAATGCAGGAATCTAAATCAAAACAGATCTGGCAGATAGTTGTCCAATTTGCTCTTGAATGCCTCCAGCGTTGGAACACACACCACCTCCTGAAGTAAGTGGTTCCATTGTTGTACTGCTCTAACAGTTAAGAAAATTTTCCTGATCCTCAGACTGTATCTGGCATCCTGTAGTTTGAGCTCATTATTTTGTGTCTTTGAGCCCAAAGTCAAACCTTCGCAGTCCTACACTCTGGGATGACCGAGAACAGATCCTGCCCCTCCTCCGTAGGATTACCTTTCAAATATTTGGAAAGTGCTGTCATATGAGAAGTTAGCTCAAGTGCCCAGATACAGTTCCAAGCAAGATGTGAAGTGGGCTGTGTGTGTCTCCCATTTTCAAGCTTGGGAACTGAGGCTGAGAGGGTACCATCTGCCCATTGCCACCCCTTGCCATCTATTTTTAATTATATATTTTTAAAACCCAACGGTGTTAAGACAGACACTGCACACCTAGCCTGCTAATCCTACTGCCTTTCTTACCATTGTGGGCTGTCGTGTGCAAGAAGGAGTCATCCACTAGAAGGCAGTATCCTTCCGACCAGCACTGTGGCTCACCACCGACCACCAACTCACAACCAGGAGGAACCTTTATTCCTAGGAGTAGAACAGAGAGGTGAAAAGTAGGAATCCAGAACACTCCTTACAAAGAGGGGGGAGGGGCACCTTTGGCCTGCCAGACCTTTTTGGACTTACATTTCCCATTTTCTTTATAAGTGAGCCATGCTGGGTGAGGTTGAAGGAAGGTGGTCAATAGGTAGAGGTGCAAACCTACAGTTTCCCCACACCGCAAACCAAACCTGAGCGATGCAGATAAAATGCTTACATAAAGGACTCATTATCGAAATAACTTCATGGGAGAAAGAGAGCTTCTACTGCTCAAAGCAAGTATTGCATCAAAAACAATTACATATGTAGAATTAAATCCCCATTACTATTCTAAACTAGAGTAGGCCCATTGAACCAGCTGCTGAATAAGCCAATCAGTTCACATATAAATCCCATTGATCCAATGAGTTTATTCTGTTGGGAACAGCTATCCTAACTGGATTCAGGTCCTAATATGAGCAGTCTTGGTCCACTTTGATTTTTGCAGAAACTCAAATGTGTTTGGTTTTTGTCAGTCTTGATTTTATTTGCAAATGACAAACCAGAGCAGGAAATGGAAGCATAACAGATTTTATGTGTTTATATTGTTTATATTGTGTGTGCATGTGTCTGGTCTCTGGGTGTCTGTGAATTTCGTTGTATGTGTATATACTTACAATGACAATAAATTATTATTATTATTATTATTATTATTATTTATCAGATGAAGGCAAACAGCTAAAGGTCTGGAAGGCAAATCAGATAGTGGTGCAGATCATATAAACTTGTTTTTTTTCCTTTCCTCTTTTTTTTTTAGATAATGTATGTTTTGAAATGCACACGAGGGCTGGAAATCCCTTTTAAAGCATCCACTTAAGATTTCAGCATCTCTTGATACCATGAAATGATTTGCAGCATGCAGAAAAGCAACTTTGCCCATCCCATTCCTGCAATGGTACAATTAGTAAGTGCACTCTAAGAACAAGCCTAGGACAGAGCTAATAACTGTTTCAATGTTATATGTGGGAGGTGAAGGGAAGAAACGGTGACTTCCCAAATGCTACAGACATTTCCCCGATTCTTTGGCTGCAAAATGGCTAGGGTCTGTATTTTAATTGTTTTAATCTGTGTCCGCGTCTCCACAAGAGATCTGGCAAAACTATTTAGAGCAATAGTTCTAAAGGAGGGTGGCAGAAAGAAGCATTATTTTCATTTCAGATGATTTCTGTATCTCTTGCTGGCGTTCTACTAGAAGAGGGCATTCTTCATTCTCCGATGAAGACGGGAATGCCTCCTCTAAGCTCCTGCTTGTAATCTGCAATTTTTGTACCAAGAAAAAGTAATTTGCATTGTGTGTACAGTTTTCTGACCAATTCATTCCACATCCCTTCTCAGCCAAACAAACCATTAGCTAATTAATCTGATTTATTAATCAGCTCTTTCAGCCATAAAGTGGACCATTGAAGCATGGTGATTTCTGCTGTTTATGCATAGCCAATCCCATCTCTGTTGAGAAATTCTGAGAAGTTCCCTAACCAGATAACACGTACAGTCCCAAAAAAAAGACTCAGGCATTACAATCTTCCCCCACTACTGCTTCCCCCCCTCAAGCTGATGCTGTGATCCCCCCTCCCCTGCCTTACTGCTTCTCTAGTATTTGCTCACCTAAGTGGCACCGCACCCTGGTATTAGTCGGCCCGTAGGTCCCAGGTAGCACGGTTCCAGGCTGTAAGACGCTGAAGCAAGCATTACCAAAGCGATTGGCATTAACGAAGGTGCGTAGAGCACTGAGCGCCCGGTACGTCCATGGGCAGCTGCGACAGTTCTGTGCAATGCACTCACCCTGCCTGTAGAGGTAATAGCTATGCCAACCAGGGTGGGCATTGGCCGTCCATCCCCGTGGCATCGATGCTCCAGAGGCAAAATCCCAGGCGATGCCCTCAAATTCCCGTAAGATGGCTGGGAAGCTGAGTTCAAGAATCTCCACATCGTGGCGCTGGGACTCGCGGGGGAAGTATGGGGCGGAGGGCAGGTCTGGGAGGTAGAAGGCGCTGGGCTTCTGAATGGCCAGGCGTTCCCCCAGCTGGTAATGGGCCTGGTCCCGGATCCCTTTGTACAGCCGGTTCATACCTGACCACGAGTAGCGCTTGGCATAGTCTCGAAGGCTGCGATACAGGCGCTGGTTGATGGCGTCGCTCTGGAGGGTGCGGCGAGGGCATCGCTCCTCTGTTGGCACACCTTGCTGATGAGACGCGGGTACGGCCTGCCCACTCCCCACCCGGTAGCAATACCAGATAAAGAGCAAGGCCAGGGAGCCCAGCACTGCAATGGTAGGCTCTGGCCTTGGGCGCCAAGACGCGGCGTCAGGAAGGAGTGGGGAGAACAGGCCATGGAGACCCCAGTCTGCCATGATACACGGCATTTTGGGGCAGAACTAAAGCAACCTAGGAGGACTGGCTGATCTTTCTAGCCCTCCACTTCTCCACTGCCTGTCATCTGCAAATGATGCCCTTTTAACCTCTGGATCTGTGTTTGGGGCCCTTTGCTCCATAACTTGCTTGGCTGCATGGATCAATCCTTCAAGCATCTCCTTCACTTTATTTCTGTGGGTGGCTAACTTCAAGCCCCACTGACTCAGTCATTTTCCTGCTATATCCTTAAGCCCCCTAACTAGGGTTTTTACTGGACTCCCTTGCTTAATTCTCTTTTCCAAAATCTCTCCCTGCCTCCCCCCCATTAATTTATGCTCATTGATATTTCCATTTATCTGTCTCCATCACTACATATATTTTTCTCATCCTCTTTGCTTAGATCTTTCCTTACATTTTTCTCTAAATTCAAATTCTATTTTTCCATACAGACTTGAGTTTCCTCCACCCTAATTGCTAATCCTGGTTTATCTCTAACCTGTTTTGTTTGTCCATTTCCCCAGTCATCCTTCCGTCTTCAGATATTGCTGTCTTCTAGGCTCTGCTCTTTTCTGACTGCCCCTCTTCTTCATCCTCGTCCCTGTTCAGCTGCTCTATTGCTGTTTGCTGATTCCTTTTCATGCACGTACACTGCTGGAGACATCCAGAGAAGATTAGGATGCTCTCCCCATGCACACACTTCTACCCACCACTGGATTCACCCCCTCCATTTGACGTCTGTCTCCTTCCTCGTATCAGCACCAGCCGAGGCTCTGCTGCGTAAACAGCCACCCGCCCAACACACACATCTATGCCTGAGATGGCTGCTGCATCTCAACGCTGGGCAAGGAACCCCTCTATAAACAGCTGCTCCCACTCCAGAATTGTGTGCACTACAGCTCTGGAGGAATGATCTCATCAGTGAATGATGAAGAATTCTGCCCTTCCATTATCCCTTTGTCTCCACGATGGATGCATGAACTGCAAAGTTTATCCAGCGAGCTGCATCTAGTGCGGTGCAGGGAAGCGCTGCTTTTTAGGGCCCGCCTCAGGCAAGTACGCCCCCCAGCTGCAGCATGGGCTCAGCTGCCAGCTCCACCTCTGCCACCAATTTAGGAGGCAATCCCTGCCCCCTAGCAACCACCATGCTTAGCGATTCACCTAGCAACCTTACATCCAACGTGGGTCTAACATCCGCTCAATAGTCACCTTGGAACTTCCATCACCTTCCATTACGTTGGGAACTCCCACCCAGCATTATCAGAGTTCCCGATCTCTCCTTACCCCCCTCCCTCCACCAAAAAATATCATCCAAAGTCAATTCACTCATCAGCCTATGGTGTGGGCAAAGCACAGCCTTCTCAGGCTGTATATGGCAACTTCCAGCACCCTTCAACCATGGCTAGTGGGGAGTCCATCAACATCTGGAGGGCTGCATTCCCCCCCCCACTGTTTACAATAATAAATTACTCCCTACCAGTCGCCAGAGCTTGGAAGTAACTAGTTATAAGTAACTAATTTTGTAATTAATTCCTTTTCCCATTAACTAAGATATCGCTACCTTCCATTATACTTGTAACTTAATGCAACATAATGTTGTGGTGTTAGCCTTAAAAGTTACTTGAATAGTGATGGTGTGTGGCCTCATTAAAGGAAGGAAGAAGGGAACAAGATTCCCCACCAGCTTGTGGTCTACCTCATGCTGAATCTTCCTGCTTTATTGAGAATGTTAAGGTGACCATGATAAGCAGCAAAAAAACCAAAAAAATTCAGCTTGTAGTTCCTAATAAATGCCAACTACAAATCTTTCTAATTAACTTTTGCAATAATCCCATCCTCCTAGCTAATAGGAAAGACCCCAGAGAGCCTTAGCAGTCAGTACAGACAGTAGCTGGGAAAGATGAGCCAATGGTCTAACATGGCATAAGGTTGCTTTGGCAGCTCTGCATTCTTAAATAATGTTTGCCAGTAGATTGCAAAGGACTATATGTACATTTATCTTTTAGGATGTTGAGATGGCCCTTAGGCCTTGCTGCTGCCTAAGTTAAAGGGAAAAGTCATTTAAGAATTGCTATATTTTTCTGTTGAAAGTATTTTAATTTTGCTATTCTGCAGAAAGAATAGCTTCTGAAAATCAAAAATAAGTCAGGGTAGCTTCTAAAAAGCAATAATAAGACAGTCCCTGTCCTCAGGATCATATTTCTAAAAGACACAGCACGAAAAGAAAGGGGGCTAGTATGAAGGAGAAATAAACAAACTCAGGTACTTGGTGCTCAGTTCTTTTCAACGCCCTGCTGGAATATATAAAATTCTGTAGCAAATCCCATCACAATTGCTCTGAAAAGTAAGTCATATGAACCACTAACCCCAAAAATGCTCACTTCTCAAAATACATATCGTACCTTTCTTATATACTATATATATTTTAGCAGTACTGTTGGGCACGTCACCGAGCCCACGACGCCAGATCCAAACCCCATGAAACGTATATTCTAACCAGGCACGGAGAAGATGAGATAGAGCGAGAAGCAGCAGGAGGAGACAAATATGTATAGTTCAACTATATATACTTGAATTTTGTCTCAGAAAATTAAGCCCCACCCAACACTGTCCTCTGGCTACATATCGAAGGCAGAAGGCTGTTCATGGCAAGCAAGATGTTTTTCAGAGAAGCCCTTATATTTGCATATCAACCATTCCCAGTGCTAGCACTCTCCCTGTGAACTACCCATAGCAACGTCCCTACCAGCTTTTGGTACCTATCCTAGCATCTGCCTGGCAACCACAGTGCCTCCCTTAGCAACTGCCCTCCCATAGCAACTCCATAGCAACCATTGCAAAGGAAGATTAAGTTGTAGCAGAAGACCCCTTCCTTTTTGCTTTCTGGCTTTAGCCCCCCCCCTTTTCCATGTCACCCAGTCCAACACCCCAGTCCTCACCACCTCTGTACACCCCTCCCTCTCCTCCCCCCATTCATTTTAGGATCTCTCCTCTCTCACACCTTGATTTTCCCTCCAGCTTTCTTAGCCTTTGATGAAAAAGTCACATGTTCTGGATTTCAATCTGGGATGGAAGTCTTCGGGGAGTTATATACAGTAACTGAGAGGGTGAGGGGAACAAGTTGTGCATGCATAAGTTTGCAAAAGATGATAGCTTATGAATTGAACAGAGCGGTAGAAAGAGAAACCTGTAGAGAAGCATGATAGGACTCTTTGTTGTTGTTTAGTCATTAACTCCTGTCTGACTCTTCGTGACCCCATGGACCAGAGCATGCCAGGCCCTCCTGTCTTCCACTGCCTCCCAGAGTTGGGTCAAATTCATGTTGGTAGCTTCGATGACACTGTCGATCCATCTCGTCCTCTGTTGTCCCCTTCTCCTCTTGCCTGCACACTTTCCCAACATCTGGGTCTTTTAAAGGAAATCTTCTCTTCTCATGAGATGGCCAAAGTATTGGAGCCTCAGCTTCAGGATCTGTCCTTCCAGTGAGCACTCAGGGTTGATTTCCTTCAGAATGGATAGGTTCTCCTTGCAGTCCAGGGGACTCTCAAGAGTCTCCTCCAGCACCACACTTCAAAAGCATCACTTCTTCAGCAGTCAGCCTTCTTTATGGTCCAGGTCTCACTTCCATAAATCACTACAGTTCCTCTGCCACTTTGAAATCCAGCTTCAGGTCTTGTTTTTGCAGACTGTATAGAGCTTCTCCATCTTTGGCTGCACAGAATATAATCAATCTGATTTTGGTATTGCCCATCTGGTGATATCCATGTGTAGAGTCCCCTCGTGTGTTGTTGGAAAAGAGTGTTTATGATGATGTGAGGCTCCCAAAGTGGAGGCCTTAGGGGGAGTGCCGTCGCTCTCAACGAGAACCCTACACACCCAGACATCCCCACCTCCGTCCCCAACACGTCAGGAAGAGAAAGGCGTGGAGACCCCAGATTGGGAGCAAGTGGTCGCCGAACCCCTTACCTTGAATAAGGGGGTAGATACCCAAGACCTGGAGG